GCATTAAACTTGACCCGTACTTGATATCAGCATTGAAGTGGGACTTTCAGAGTCCCTCTTTACTGAAGTCACTGAGGGAAGGACAATCGTGAAAGTCGTGTAAATAGAAGGGTTACTAACAGTTTAGGAGCACTTTGGTTCTGCTGTTGCTTGGCTGGAGATACCTTCTGGTAAAGATGTCTGCATTTATGAAGCCTGCTAGAACCGTGCACCTTTTTGAAAGGCAAGAATGAGTTTATCTTCATTGTCTCATAGCAAAATGAGCCAAACCTATTCTCCCATCTTTTAAAGATTAAAAAAAATAACAGAATTGCTTGAAGAAAAGCCAAATTGAGGAAAAACGCCTCAAGATTATTATTTTGGAAAATCATACATGAAAACATTGTTTCACAATAAAAAGAGCTCAGTGCTTTAAAAGGAAAAATAAGATTATTTTTTCACTGAAAAAATACATCACCTACATCATAACAACAGGGTAAATGACCTTTAAAGCATTTCAGATGTATTTTTGGCTCAGCTGTGTTAGTGCAGAGTTCTTGGTATATTGCCAGTTTCATTACTTTGTTTAGAAAGTCCCTTTTCTCTATTGTTTAAGTGGGTATTTCACATCCTATCCCTGGAGAGAAAGTTTTCAGGGAAATGTGTTCATAAATAATGGAAATTACCAGAGACTGTTGTAAAACATGGAAATAGTTTCATCTGGTTCATTTAAAGCCGTAAGAAGTTTAACACTGAAGAATCTGTTCCAGCTTTTCTCCTGCAGATGCCCGGAGAAGGATCAGGACTGAAGTCTGAGAGTCACCAGGGGCTTTGGGAGTGGTTACCCAATCAAGTAATTCACTTGGAGGTACAGCAGAACACACCTGACTGGGTCACCCCTGGGTTCATCTAATCTCAAGGCCGGTTACTTCTGTAAATGCAGTTGTTTGTTGAGTAAAATTCTTTCTGATCACATCTTTAATTCTCGGCATAGCAGCTGACTTGGTGAGGCATTTAAACCCTCATTTTTGTCGGACCCCTACTTCAAGGTGTCTTTCCAGACAGAAGTTGACCTGCCCTTGATGACAAACAGATCTTCAGTATCTTGCAGACTGAGACTTTGGGAGATGCCCAAAGCATTAAGAGTGCCAGACCTTGAAAAATAACTGTATGTGTACTGGGAAGAACCAAAAATCCAGTAGCCACAGGCAGGAATGGGAATGAAAGTTAGAAGACCACTGCAGCCAAGCTCCACATGAATTCTCTATTCTAAAATAACACAATGAAGTTGTGTTTAACTTTCGGACACGCTGGTTCTAGAGGAAATACAGGCTCACTCTATAAACAGTGAAGACAGACTCATGCCTAGAACGATCGATGAGCAGCTGAAGATTGGTTAAATTTAAAGATCAGTTATCAGAGTCTGACGATACTTTACATACTTGTGGGTGGTGGTGGTGGAAATCAGATTCTATTTTTCATTCTATTCTATCTACTTGTACATTTCTGAGTTGACTACTGTGACTTTCACTCACATGTGTTATGTCTAGGTAATACCAACTTGGCTTTGCTCTAAGCAGCTCTGACAACTCAGAAGACTGCATAACCCTTTTTGGGTGACAGCTGCGGTATTTAGAAACATATCCAAGCCAAAATACATTTTGTTTTTTGTCTCCCCCAATTTATAATCAATCCCACAAGACTGCTCAGATGCACAGTCACCCCAAAGTGGTATTGCCCAATATTGTTTGCTCTGAACACTCGGGGGGGGCAGAGCAAATATTTTAAACAGCAGCAAATACAATTGTCATTTATTTTTAGCAGTATCATCAAAGTTAAATAAGTTCAAAGGTCAAAATACTTGCACTGTGAAACAAGATCACTCCAGAATTTTGACAGAAAGATAGGTGCACTCCACAGCCAGCCTTGGAGTGCTTTTTACTCAAACAGAAAAACTTAACTTCACATGGTTGAAAGATCTGTGACAGGCCTTAAGCAGCACACCAATACTGATTCGTTACATCTGTGCTAGGAGTGTTGCACCTTCCCATATATTTGGGAAAAGCAAGCAAAACCCACAAGAAAAAAAAAGACACCAAGGAAAACAACATCCCTTTTACAGCTTATCTCCAACTGCACGGGGTGCCAATCAACTGGTTTCCCTGTGCAAGAACTAATAGTAGAAGCGCAATAGAAGGAACACTGTCTTATCACACACGCAAGTTAACATTTATTATTGCCATATCCAAAGTCCAGATTCCGTCCTGCACGCTCTGCAAACTCAGCAAACCAGACCCGAGTGCATGTGTGCCAGCTGGCCTCTGACCTCCTGCCTGTCGGGCTTGTTTCAGCGCACGTCTTTTCCCCTTCGCAAGCGCTGCGAGGATCAGGATGTTGCTGGCCTTTCTTTGATCTAATACAGAGGAAATAGCAGCAACTCCCTGAACGGGTGTCAGAACAATTCCCTGTTTTGCAGCACTACCCAGCCATCAACAGCATCTGTTCCTCTGTCAAGAGAGCCTTACTGCAGACAGAGCAATGGTTCTGAAGTTGTATTTTGGTTTGAGGCTTGCTGCTGCTATTTCAAATCTCAAGGCTGTAAACCTTAATGGTTGTCTATTTTTACCACTTTATTAGTTTAACAAAAGCAATTACCTCTACCTACAAATCTGTTTGTAGATGTCCTTAAACCACCATTGCCCTGGCATCCCTACTGCCAAAGTGTTATTTATGCAACCCAGGAGGCTCACACTCCATACCAGCAAGCAGCATGTGGTCAGAAAGTCAGCAACATTTTCAGAGCGCCCCACATCCCACGCATTCAGATGTTCATCCTGCCGCTACACAACCAGCCCCCAACTCAGTTCAGCCTTTTTCAACACCCTCTCTGCAGCAGCAGCACCCACCGTCAATAGCTGTGCAGCCAACTTTCATGTTGCTGCTTCTTGTTGTGCACACTGGGCGCAGACATCAGTACTTTCGTTTCTGTCTTCGTGCCTTTTGTACAATCTCTTACTCCATAGCTCTTACTGCCACAATTTGAATTTCTCAGCTTACTCCTGGGACGCATGATTGGCAATGAATCTGCCCTTTGGCAAAGGGCAAGCTCAATAGTGAGACCACTGACGTTACTCCCCTAAGGAAGGTGAAGCTGCAAGCAGGAAGGTGTTACTACAGTAAAAATAAAGTACCCAAATAAAGACATCCAAGGTAGAGCTCTCAGTCACTTGCATAGAGTGGCCAAGAGCATTATTTGCAAGTACCAGACAATGTATAAAAGCCCAGCCAAGGCCAAGCCCTCTCCAGGATGAGCACTATGCACGTAGCGATGTTTCCTGATGCCAGACAGGTAGGAGGCAGGAGAGCAGCCCTCTAACAGTTAGGCAAGTCTCACAGGGGAAATAAAGCCGAGTGAGGACTAGGATACAGAGCTTGCTACTGCCAGCCCACTCTTTAGTCAGCATCCAACTCCCCTGCTTTAGCAGTCAAAAATTCTGAGAACACCTGTTTTGACAAAAAGCCTGTTAGCAAAGCACGGCATGCTCACAGTGCATCAGCTTCCAGCAAACAAGAGCTGAGGTGGAAGCATTTGGCACCATGAGCTACATTCTGCTACAGGTTGGCAGAGCCCTCCAAAGATAACCAGCTTCATAAACCACAGCTGTGAAGATGGAACTGGCTGTGGAAATTAGGGCTGGCAAAGAGCTAAAAACACCTCTCATGCTGAACATCTGCTCAAGGTGAATGCAGTTAACACATTCTCAAATAACTAACAGAGGATACAGGAGGCAGCAAAAAAAACCCCAAATGCTTGTGTTACTTACCCAGAAGAACAATGAAGAACAAGAATAAACAACCTTTTTTCCTTATGAGAACAGGGAACAAACCCTTCTTTATCCTAACACATTTTAAAGGGTGAACAAGTAGCTCCAAGAGCATTTCCCATTAGAAGTAGCAAAGGGGAAGTTATATTGTGTTTTTGAAAGCATGCGAGGTAAAGTTACCTCCATCTCTTACCAGTGGCATAAGAAAACCTAAGTTAGATACTACACACAGCAAAGCCTGTGTAAGTCAGTACACAACGATGTATTTACCTAGACAGATCCATAACGACAGGTTTCATTCCTATATATTTCTATAAATCAACTGCTTATCTAAAGACTGTTTGAAGTCCTCACCATTCAGATGCTAAC